AGGGGGGCAGGAGGTTATTAAGGGGGGGGGGGGCAGGAGGTTATTAAGCGGGGTGGGGGCAGGAGGTCATTAAGGGGGGTTCCAGTTCAGGCGATAAATCACGTCTCAACAAACACGAATCACTTTTTTTTTTTTAAAGTGAACTTGGACTTTTCGCAGCACGAGTCACTTGAGCTGTTTTTATTTTTAATCAAGTAAAAACACGATTAGTTTTTGGGTTAACGAGTTAAATGAAACGTTTGTTTCTCGGGGTTCTCCACGAGCTAATGTTTTGTCCACTCATGTGTTTGTGTCCCTTCGAGCTGAAGGTCATTAAAGTGTCCGTGTGGGTTTCAGGTGAGGTGAAGAAGATCAACATGTGGAGGATGCTGCTGTGTGAAGCCACGGCCTCCATCATGGCCAAAGGCTTCGACATCCTGGGCATCAACCCGGTCCAGAGGATGTGATCCGGACCCGGAGGACAGGCCGTCACTGAACTCTAGCAGAAACACAACTAACCGGTCCTCGCAGGGACGGAAATGTTCATTTTGGTTCATTAAGTAACATCTGGCGTGAAGGATGTCTTTAATAAAGGAGCTGTTCTGACGCGTCACTCGTTTCAAACGTTTCTCTTTAAGTTCGATTCAGAACGAGCCTTCGGAGAAATCAAACTGTCGGAGCTGCCAGGCTTTCAAAACATCTCCCGTTTGTTTCATCTGTGTGTGGGGGGGTGCTGCTGCTCGTTCAGAGCTTGTCTGCACCTGGACTGTTCATCTGCACTGAGATGTTCAGAACTCTGCTTCACATCTGGACTGTGGTTCCCCTCCCAGTTTGAACAGGATTCAGGTCCAGCTCTCTTCTGTCCGGTCGGATGGCGGACGTACGAAGGTTCGGCCTCCGTCCGTGCTTCAGAGACTTTCTCTTGTCCCGCATATAAACTTCTGATCCGCTCAAGATTATTTAACGACACTTCATACACGCATGCACCACAGCACGACACTTTTCATCAGCCCAGCTCCAAGGTCAACGTCACACATCAAGGTCAAAGGTTATGGGCCGTTGCTGCTCTACAAGGTAATTTTCACATTTTGGATCAGAATCTGCTCCAACTGCAGAGAGATTTATGTCTGATTGAATCTTCATGGTGGGCGGCACGGTGGATCAGTTGGTAGAGCTGTTGCCTCTCAGCGAGAAAGTTGCAGGTTCAAATCCTGGCCGGGGGCCTTTCTGGGTGGAGTTTGCATGTTCTCTCCGTGCTGCAGTTTCCTCTCACAGACCAAACACAGGTTAGACTGACTGGTAACTAAATTGTCCCTAGGTGCGAGAGAATGGTTGTTTGTTCCTGTGATGGATGGATGCATGGATGGATGGATGCATGGATGGATGTACATGTTGAACAGAGATTTAAGCTGTAAACTGGATCTAAAGTCTGATAAACAGCTTTATCTGTGGTGACTTTTTGTATTTCCAAGCCAAAGAGAACAACTTGAACAAGAGGATGACCTGAAGACTTCAGGACCAGACCCCGTACTCTGCTGGACCTCAGTCTTTCCACCTCTTTTTTCAGACAGAAGCTGGTTGTGCTGTGATCTCCAGTGTGGATCAGGTCTACATGGAGGAAGAGAGGCAAGAGAACGCCGAGCCACTGGTTCTGATATGGCGACGATACCTGGGTCTATATCCAAACTGGGGACGTAGACTCGTTCACCAGCAGCTCTTTGACATCCGAGGACACCGACGACAACACGGTCCTTTTCTGGACCGTTGGAGATGGAAGTCTAAACACTGACGTTTACAGGAAACCCACTCGCATGGATCAAAACCTTCTGATTGACTCTCAACAACCACTGGAACAAACTTTCTGTCATCAGATCACAGAACATGTCTCCACAAGGACGGAAGGAACAGAACCACATCAAAGAAGCTCTCCAAACCCGTGGATGTCCAAACTAGACCGTCATCAAATCTGCGAGGAAAAAAAACACGCCAGGCAGAAGAACAAATAAAACCATCATCCCAGATGTTTGGCATATCTGAGAAACTCTGAAGGATTTTCTCCAAACAACATCCTGGTACATTTTAAACCCAACAGGACCATCAGACAGAGGCTGGTCCATCCCAAGGACAGAACCCACAAACCCAGACTGAGCGGTGTGTCCACAGGAACGTTCACTTCATGTTGGAGAAACTAGAACTCCACCGATGCATAGCTCAACACCAGAGAACAGCTCTTCAGGACCAGACTCGAAGGTCCACCTACACGAAGAGGGACACTGCTGAGGACCAGCGGGTCCAGATGTTGGACAGATGGTTTGAGAGGGGAGGTGAAGGAGACCATTTAAGAATAAACCTTTAAACAGAGGGATTCTCAGATTTCAACATTCAAAAGCCTACAGAGCAGCTTTAGGCTGCTTCATTCTAATTCACACCTTAATGTGACGCTTGGGAACAAACGGACCCTAATGACCCTCTATTGTGAGGGGCGAGTAGTTAATCTGCATGTAAACCTAGACACAGAACGTTTGTGCAGTTTCAAGGAATTAACATCGTTGTTTTGAACTGATAAAACTAATCGGATGGGGAGTAAGTGTCTTCAACTACAGAATAAAAGTTCAGTTTTAACATTTTATTTTATCTTCCATGTACTGGATGACTGAGAATCTACACAAGTCTTTGATTTACTGAACATCGTCCAGGAATGGTCCAATTTACAGAGCAGAATGGGGGGGGGGGGGGGGGGTTGAGCTTCTTGAATATTACTTTTATTAATGTTATAAAAACAGTTTTGGAGGGGTAGAAACTGGTATGAAATATATTAAACCACTACTTATAAATTCTGCAAACATTTAATTTATTTAAACAAATAAAAGTCCCGTGTTGTGACTTTAGACACCCCTGAACTGGACCGTACCAAGTCCGAACCAGCGTCGGTTGAAGTTTGTGATCAAAGCCTCATCAGCCTGAAGAGCCGGAGTGAGTAAAAGATAAATAACATGGTTAATACTCTTTAAAGTCTTCCTGTCAGCGTTTTTTAAACAAAGTCTACAAATGATGTCAGCTTTTATTTAGTTTGCAACCTGCTGTAAGTTAGTTAGCTGCAAATGCTAGCTAGCCGTTAACAAACTAGCTAGCCAAAGCTAACTATTTATATTTTTCTTAATATTTGTGTCTCGGCGGCTCTCTAAGAGATTTAAAAGTATTTAAAAAGTTAAACCAGCAATGATAAATTTTTCCCTCAACTTCTGACTTGAATTATTTAACCTTTAAACACAAAAGTCCCTTTGACTTTTAAAAACCTTTTTCTCCAGCTGTGACCTGAGCAGCAGAAAATGCACAACAAGTTACTGCATCACCTTTAAAATGAATCAAAACATCAAATTGATTAAACATTAAAAAAACTAATTATAAAAAATAACAATGGGTACAAGTTTTGGAGTTGGCTTCAAGTCTTAAATTAGGATTTAAAAGCGCTGAAATGATCTCTGTTCCTTTCAGATTAACTGGATGGACAAAAACCTTCAAGCCAGTTCAGTCCGGGCCAACAGAACGGACCAAATCAACAGAACGGACCAAATGAGTAAGAGCTCACACTTCAGTTAAGATGCTTTTCCATATGAGGTGCCACTGTGGATCAGTCGGTGCAGCTGCTGCCGCCTCTCAGCGAGAAGGTCGTCAGATCAAACCCCGGTCCAGGGACCTTTCTGGGTGCAGTTTGCATGTTCTCTCCGTGCTGCGTGGGTTTTCTCCAGGTACTCCGGCTTCCTCCTGCAGACTAAAAACATGCATGTTCGGCTGATTGGTAACTCTAAATTGTGCCTAGGTGAGATAGAGAGAGAGAATGGTTGTTTGTCTTTCCAAAAAGTTCAATCTGGTCCTCTGGACATTCAAAAAAACAAAAACAAAACAAAGCAAAAAAAATCTAGAAACGTTTCGTCTCTCATCCGAGAGACTTCCTCAGTCTGAGGAGCTGTATTCAGCTCAGTCTCTTAAATAGCACCTTCTCAGAGTGGATCAACCAGTTTGCTGCTGACAACCAAAACCAGCTGATCACATGCTCAAGAAGGACCATCAGCCTAACAATGGGTCATTAGCACACTGATGGCTGTTTACTGTTCACAGAGGGCTGAGTGATACTAGCAATCACAGCATTGTAAGAGGGGGACAGTTGAACCTGGAGGCTCCACCCCTGTTTAATGATGGACGGT